AAGGCCCATAATCTGAAGCTCATAGTGGAGATTGAAGCAAACAAAAAAAGGTTGGGTTTTATTTTTTCCTTATCGAGCCAAAAATCCACCGTCATCCCATCCCACTGCTCCACCCACAGGCAGCTCCTGCTCACACATCCCGCTCCAGGCCCTTCCCGGGAGCTGTTCCTGCTGAACTCGGGCCAAGCACAGTCAGAGTGGCCCCAGATGACACCCTCACCTTCGGGTGCTGCTCCCACCCTGTTTCTGGGTGGTCAGCCAGGATGGGGCCCCCCGACCCCCCAACAGCAGGTTCCTGGGATGATCCCATTCCTGCCACTCTTCCTCTCTCTCCCAGGATCTCTGTCCACATCTGGCACCTGGAGGATTCCCAACCCTGTCTCACAGCCTTGTCCTTGCTTTCCCAGTTTAACTTTTTCTCTCAGGTTACTCTTTGTCTCTCAGTTTAACCTTTATTAGCTGCAGTTTCAGGCTGCTGTGATCCTGCTCCCTCACCTTCCGTGGTCTCCTGCTGTTGCCATCCCCGAGGGATGGATGACAGGAAGATTTCACAGAATCTTTTAGGCTGGAGATCATCGAGACCAACCTGTGACTGATCACCACCTGTGTGACATTGGACCCCCACTTTAAACCCAGATCATGGTGGTGACAAACCCTGTAGGACACAAACCCAAATCTTTGTTTCAATTCTGCTCTTAATGTATTTTACAGCTTGTCTTGCCCTCAAAACAAGGCATTGCCCAAGTTTAGCTCATACCAGGCCTCAGGATTTAGGTATGTTCCTCTTACTCTAGAAGCCCAAAGAAGGGAATTTGGGAATTCAGAATCACAGAGTCACAGGATACCATGAGTTGGAAGGGACTCACCAGGGTCATCAAGTCCAATTCTTAAGTGAAATTCGGCTTCTTTGGGCACTTCCTGTTGTTCCTGCTCAGCAGAGCCAGTCCAGGATGGGGTGACCCACATGTCTCTATCCCCATCCAGCTCCTAAATTATTCCTGCCTCTCCTGCTGCTTCAAGGCTTCTTCTATGTTACACAAGTTTTCTTTCCATGCATTGAAAACCGATCTCACAAGGTGTGTGTGCAGCCCCAAGTCTCATAATATTCACCCAATGTAATCAATATTTACAGGTTGGGGGTTTTTTTGTTGGAAAGCCAGAGGGAGATCACAGCAGAGTTTCCTCTGTCTTCTTTGGAAATTTCCAATTTCCTTTATCCAAGAAGACAAGGTTCACCACTGAAGGCAGCGATCCCTACGAGAGACAATCCCAGCATGGAGGTGAGGAGGTGACGGTGAGGAATGGCAGGAACAGCAACCAAAATGTCCCTCAACTGGCTGGACCTCATCACCAGCCCCAGGCTGTGAAGGAAAACCTGAAATCACTCTTTAGTAACTTGGCTGTTTATTGGAGTTGCACTGAAACCCCAGCAGAGCTGACAGAACCTCTGAGGCTGAGCTGGGTTATTGATTTTGGGGGGACCCAGAGGGGCCTCCACTGGCCCAGCCCCACAGAGCTCGAGCCACACACCCTGCCCTGATTCACACAGAGCCCCATCTGTGTATACATATATATATATATACACACACACATTATACATCGACATTTAAATATAATATACTGCCAGAGTTATGGTTTTAAATATCTGAGGGATGTGGTATCTTGGAAACCGATTGCCTCGAGTTGCCCAAATCAATTACAGAGTGAATCAACACATCTCCTGAGCGTGGGAGCAGCGAGCAGCCAGTGATGCCAGCCCTCCCTGTCCCCATCCCTGTCCCTGTCCCCGGGCTGGGGGCACGGTGGAGGAACGTGGCAGGACACATCAGGGGACAGAGCAGGCAGTGGTCAGTGTGATGTGTCACCTTGGCTCCTTCAGCTGAAAGTTGGTTTAAAAGGGGGGACCAACACGAACCATAATGTACAAAGGTGATGTCACTCTTCACTGGGAATGTTTGCACAACATTGGGGTGGTTTTCAGCTGATTTCTGAGCAAAGCTTCTTTCCTCAATATTTTCTACCCATTGTTCGGGGACATAGACCATGGCAGGTGTTGAGTGAACTCACAGCCTCCAATGGCGACAATAAATGACATTTTCAGACAAGAATTCGAGGTTTATATGAGAAAAAACAGATAAATTAATATTTTAAAGAAAGGAAACTTAGGAAACCACGTATTCCTGAACATGCAAAAATGTGTCCATCCTCTTCCCATGGCCCTGAGCTCAATAGGGAAGTGAAAGGCACATTACAGGGGAATTCTTCCCCAAAAAAGGGCTAAACCAGGGAGTCTGTGCCAGCATCAGTGGGTTGGGTCAAACCCTCTGCTTGGCTGTGCAGGTGTCATATGAGGAGTGAACAACCTGATCCCCAAACCAGAGCTGAACACCTTCAGTTGTTTCATTCCTCTCAGAACAGCTTTGGTTCTTTGGCCAGGCTCTGTGAAAATACTGAAATTTTAAATAATAGTCCAAAAATGGGCTGATGTAGCCAGGAGAGTGTGGGTTGCTGAGAGGAGAGATGGCTCAGCTAAATATTTGGCAGAATTAAGCAAACCAGGAAAGACATGTGGGCATGAAGAAATAATTCAATATTAAATTTCTGGCAGAATTCATAAAATCTGTTTATAGTTCGGATCACAGTGAGGCATCTACTTACTATTATTGGAGTCAAGGTCTAAGGGGCTTTGGTTGCAATGGCTTGGCAACTGTTCCAGAGGAGAAGCGTTAACAGAACATTAAACCCACTCTAATTAAGCTTCCTCAGGTGAGTGTCTGCTCCCAGGTGCCATTCCAAGGATTTGACCTTCCCAAAATGAGCCCTCCTGGTGTGGTTGCTGCTCCCCTGGTACTGTTTCCATCCATCCTTGAAGGGGTTGTACCTCTTTATCATTCACTTCCAATTTCCCTCTGTTCCAAGCACTTCCATGATGGTTTTGTTCTTCTCCCCCCTCCCTTGATCTCCACCTCCTCTCACCACCTTGCTCATCTTTCCTTTGCTCCATGTCTCTTCCCTTTCCTCTGAGCCTCCACTACCTTTTCCCCCACTGGCCTTGCTCCCACCCCTCTGTCCTTCTCAGGAGGGAGCTTTGGGAGCAGCTGGAAACCCAACACCAGCCAGAGGGAGAAAAGGTGCTGCTGGGGAAGGATTTCACAGCAGGAGACACTGGGACACGATCCTTCCCTCTGCCCTTCACCACAGTGAGGGGTCCCCTGCGCCCAAAACCTTCCCAAGAAAGAGGTAACAGATCATTAATTGAAAAGTTCACAGAAAAAAAGAGGAGACTCTCAAAGGAAGATTGAGGCTGGGGAGAATTTTTCTTTCAAAAATAAACAAATAAAATAAAATGAGCTTTTTCTAGCGAAAAATTCTACCTAGTCCAAGATTATTCCAGATTTCCAGTGAGAAATAACCAAAAAGCAAGATAATATAGTAGATAAAGTCTGAAAATTTTCAAATTTCCTGCCCTTTCCTCTGCCTTCCTTCCCCACTAAAACAACACGGACAAATAAATAACCAGAAAACACCTTTTTTTTTCTGTTTCATTTTCCCTCCATGGCCTTTTCCCTCAGCCCCTGCACCAGGACCCTGGAGATGGAGTGGCCACCCCGGCTGTCCCTGCTTGTCACATGTCCCCTCATCTCATGGAGCAGCTTTGGTGCCCCCAGACCTAAATCCCTGTGAGGAAGCCCACCTGGAATACGCTCCCAGCTTACGGCTGCACATCCAGTCTTCCTCGTCACTAAATGCCAGATCTATTTTAATATTACGGTTATTTTCCATTGAGATAAAAATAGCTGCTCATTCCGAAACACGAAGCGTGGGGACAGTTTACAAGGCATTTTTCCCCAATCCCTGGGGGTTTTTTGCCACCAGGTGGCAATGGAGCTGCAGCCACCGCCCCGCTCGGGGTGAGCTTTCCCAAAACATCCCGGTTCGGGGGCACGCGGACATTAGCTGTGGATAATAAATCTTTGGGGTCAGACTGCTTTAACTCCTCTCCGTTCACCTGTTTCTCCCTCTGTTTTTCCGGGCTCCCCCTCTGCCGCCGAAATCCAGGAGCGGGATGGGGTCGGAGCTCCGAGCTGGGGGGGGATTCCAGAGCATCGGGAGTTTTATTCCTCAGGTCGGTGCAAAGCCGCAGGGTAAGGGCAGATCCCGGGAGCCTGTGCCGGTGGGATCCCGATGGATGCGGCCACACTGCCCTCTGCCAGCCTCCGCCAATAAAGGCAGCCTGGAAAACCAGGGAATGGCTCGTGTATTCCTGTCCCACACCATCCCGGGATATGCCTGTGCGCGGGCATCACCCGGGCACCAAAGCCCTCTCACGGGGGGTCTCTTGCAGCTCTTTTTCACTATTCCTGGTCCTGAATGAAGTTTAAATCCCATCCCTCGGCCGTGGGGCCGAGCTGGGAGCTCTCCAGGACACCTGGGCTCTTATTTTCAGCACCAAAGTGCTCCAAAAGCCAAGAGCCATGGGCACTCACAATTTTTCCCAGTTTCCATCCCTGTGTCAAAGCACAGGGATCGTGGCTGAGGGCAGCGGCCGCGGGATTGAGCTCTGCAGATCTTCAAGGTACTGATAAGAAACGGTTTCATGGTTACAGCAGCATAGAGAGCCAATATTTAGCTTTAAAACAGCTTAAAAAAACAAACAAACAAAAAAACAAACAACAAAACAGCTCAAACCCCTTCAGCAATAATGGTTCACCTGATCTCTCAGTGCTGGGGGTGCATTGGCTTCATCAGACACAAATTCCTGTCGTGGGAAGGGAGAACAATTCAGTGTCCCCAGGACAGAGGGCTCCAAGGTCTGCACAAAATTCTGTTTATAATCTTGAAAACTCTCTTCATAAATAACTAATTAATTTATCTGGTGGAAACTAAAGAACTGGGGAAGTGGAACGTGATGGCCCCGAGCCCTGATGGGGATTTCATTGTTGCTGCTCTGAACAGAACTGAACATTTCCAAGGCCACAAAAACAACAGAAACAGAGAAGTTCATATAGGAAAAGGAGTTAGTTCACCTTTATTTCATTTCTCCATAGTCCCAAACTTGACAGACGTAGAAAAATATCCTTGAGTCTGGTAGACAAATTTGCCAACGCTAAATAGCCCTTTTCTCTGACCATCTGGGCCACCCTAAATACATTTGTACAAGCATTACTTCAGGCTTTTTGTTCAAGAAAAGGTTTGTCTAAACTATAAACAATAAACTACAGAGGAAAAACTCGACCTACCAAAGCATGCAGATGAAAGGATCCTCCAAAACTTGAAAAAAACCCAAAAATAAAATTAAGAAAGCAAACCAACCTTGAGATGCATTTGGAGGAGGAAACAAATTCAAATAATCGGAGGAAAAAAAAATTAAGTAAAGAGAAGTCAAAGCAAACTCTGTAAACTATCTGTGGATAAGTTAAAATATCTATGGCACAACTTTTCACCAAAAAAAATTAAGGCGAAGACCAACGTTTTTATATAAAAATAGCTGAGCAGGCTCCTAAAGTAGGAAAGAAGCATTTCTCATGATGACTCTGGGAATCCAAGATTATAAATACCCTTATTTACACAGAACCCAAAGCAATACAAACATCTGGACCCTTTCTCTGGGCATCCAGCACTCAAACACCCAGATCTGGTGTCCTGGACCATAGTGGAGGTACTTCAGTTGAAGGTCTGTAGTAGTTTCTTTGCTACACATACTGATACAAATCATAAAAATGCAATATAAATAGAGATTTTCACAGAGAAACTCAGGAATACACAAAGCTTAAGGGATTGGCCCAGAAAGAAATGATAGAAGTTTTAAAATCATCAACTGTTTTGTAGGCTAAGGAAAACATCCAAGTTTTACAATAATATTTAAACTTTCAGAATAGTTGTTTTTTCAAAAAAATCAAACTGATACCTATAGTGAAAATAAAGCAGGAATTGTCATGGCAGAAGATTCATTATCTCTTCATAAATACAGCAGTTTGTTTATTTGCCGAGTTCACTTATAAATGTCATTATTATGGGCATTTTCATAAATTTCCAAGCCTAAAAGTTACTGATTTTAAAGGAGATGAACAATAAACCATATTTTCATGGATGTATTTGACTAATTTTTCAGAACTATGTCATCCATATATAGTAAGACATAAAAATAAGAGCAAATCAAATATATTTTAGAAGAATCACATTAATATTTCAAGTTAAAATACCTTTGTAGATGTTAATACGATCAAGTTCAGTATATCTGTGCACATTAAAATTCTGCATCAGTGTATCCACATACACTCAGTAATTCCAGAAATAACCACAGAAATGATAAAATTCCCATTGGAGAAGACAATTTTCCCCCAACACAACTCAGTGGACTTGCCCACGACTTTTAGAGCTGTAATTCACAGAATTTGCAGCTAAAGCAGAAGCTTTAGTTTAAATTTTCTAGTTTACTTCAATTTTCTTGCCTAAACCCCAGGCCCTTCATTTCTGCCTCCTTGTGCTTCACCCCCTCCCATCCCTCGTCCATCCTGACAACCTTCCCCTACTATTTTGGGAGATATATGTGAGGGGGAAGATCAAAAGGACTCTTTTAAGATGAAACTTAACTACAAACATGGTCTAAATATACATTTAGCCTGCTACTGATTCATTTTTGCTGAACACTTGCTTAACATCTGCTGATCTTTTCTCCCTAATATCCCACCTTCAGTATTTTCTTGTCCATAAATTGTGTTTAAGACAAATACAGAAAAACAGCACTAAAATAAACCAAGTGAATGTCTCATACTCAACTAAAACCAAGCAGAGAACTGAAGGTTGCATGTTGGAAATAATTTATTGCCTAGAAAAGGTTAAAAAAAAAAAGCTTAAGTTCACATTTTCTGTGTGGGTTCAAGGGTGGTGTCAGAGGTAGTGTGTGTAAAATGTAATACAGAGCTGGAAAAGAATTACTGACTTCCTTCAGTAACACAGGAAAATGTTCCCAGAACCAAAGCACAGCCCTGTTTTCCTTACAGGAACATTCTTAAGCACCTCTTTTATCCAAGAGGGTTTGCTCATTTGTTGAAAAAGAACCACCACAACAAACCCAAGGTTCTGTCCCATCTGTCTTCTGACCAAAGCAGCTGCTGGTTTTCAGAGAAATGAATATTGAGACTAAACCCCCACTGTGCCATGGAAAACACTAATTTTGTAGCATTGCTTATCCTTTATTTTGCTCATAACTTTTCAGATTTCCCATTTGGCCAATGGGCTAAAATTTACTGGAGTAGGGAAATCATCCACCACAAACCAGCCTGTTTTCTGTGGGAACCAGATGGAGTTTTCTCACTGACCAGCCCCTAGCTTTGCTCAGGAACCTCACAACCAAACAACTCACTCACTTGTGATGATTTGGGGCAGAAAAGGCAGGATTTGGCCCTGCCAGTGGTGCCAGTCCTTCAGAGCAGCCTGGGGGGTCCTGCTGGCCTGGGGGAGTGGGGCAGGGGCTGGAGGGAGGACAGCAAGCTTTGGGTTGGAACAAGGTATGGATTCTTCCTGTTTCAGGTATGCTGTGGTATTCCCTTAATGCATATTATTGTCCTTCCTTCCATATTATTGTCCTTCCTTCCATATTATTGTCCTTCCTTCCACATTATTGTCCTTCCTTCCACATTGTTACCCTTCCTTACACTCCCAGGACCCTGAGACTGACAGCTGGCTCTGCCTGGAGCACTGAGGGAAGGTCAGTGCTGTGCAGGAGTTTGTTCTCAACGTCAGGAATACAGTAGTGCAAGAGATCCCAAGTGGGAGAGTGGATCTATTTGCAGCAGTAATTCCCATTTCCACAGTCAGGATGCCCATGGTGGTGTGGATTTGTTCTGTTCACCTGGATGAGCACAGCAGACACAGCTGTCTCTGTCTGGAGAATGGACTTGGTAAAGCTCTTCCCAGTTTAAGCTGAAGACAGAACCAGTACATTCCTTCCCTCACTCAAAGGGCTGCAAATCCAAGGATCTGCTTCTTATCTCAGACTTTTTATTGCCTTAATGAAAAGAAATCCTGGGAAAGATTAAAGCTTGAGGATCGAGCACTGCAGAGAACTGACACTCGTATGTACATCTGCTTGGGCACCTTAAAGCTGCCCCAAATTTACCTGTTAGTTACTATTACTCACTCCTGTCAGACTCTAGATGTGACAGCAGCAGGGAAAGGGAAGGAGGCAGAACTGCAGGAAACAGGTTTTGAACCACGAGCAAACTTGTCACATCAAAGCCTCTGCTCCCGAGGAGAGCCCGGCCTTGTCTCTGCTCAGCGTCTGTTCCGAGCTGCCCCTGCCCACCTGGGCTGCTCCAGACACACACACGTCAGCACTGATGTCCCCATGGATGCACCAGGGAAGAACACACCAGGGAAGTCACTGTTCATGGACAAAGAAATGAGAGATTTCACAGGGTGGTAAAACAGCCACACGTGGCCCTTCTGCTGGAGAGGTTACTCAAATTAGTCAAATCACTGAAATGGAAATGAGGCTGATTTCTGTCACCCTAAAAAGCTTTATTTGTTATGGAAAGTCTATGGAATGATAAATTAGCCCTTAATGTGGGCTCTCATTATCATCCTACAGACGGGGAAACAACCAGACCCCAAATCCTGCTGGGCCCGGGGCCCACAGAGCCACCCCACTGCTTTCCATCAACACTTAAAATACCACTAATGGCAATTTAAATGTCATTAAAAATTTGGAAATATGCACTCATAGTGAAAAAAACCAGCCAAAGAGTTGTACAGTATCTTCCTCCACAGCATTCTGTTATCAGGGATATAATTCATACCCTTCCTTCCTGACTATCCTGTGAAGTTGTCAGATGTCTCAGCTATGGAAGCACCACTGCCTCACTGGGTTTTTGGTGTCTCCCTACAGGAGAAGGGACCAAAGAACAACATTCCCCCAGGGATGGGTGGGTGTTGACTGCAGTTCCTTTCAGCTGAACATCCAAGAGGAGTCCAGCTTCCTAGAGCAAAGGGACTGACATAATTGCAGCAGTTCATTCAAAATTCATTCCTTCCATTTGTTTGGAGATGGAATAGAAACAAGAGAGCAAAATAGGAATCATCAGTGGGAGCTTTTCTTGCAGAAAGGTGGATGACTTAATTGACCATGAAATCGAGAACTCCCATTAAGAGTATCCTGCCTTTTGTCATGGGAATTTCAGTGGAAGCAGCAGGAAAACAGGGTCCCAACAGTGGCAAATGACAGTACTAGAATACAGAAAACAAGAGGCTTCGTTGTCAGGGGCCCTGATTTCCTGTCTGGAGAGGACAGCAATAGAAACCATTGTCAGCCTGGGATAGAAAACCCTTTATAAATGAGTTTTTCAGAGCCAGCAGAATTCCAGCTGAGCTGTGTCTTCCATGGGAAGGTCAGGACTGTGATCTCTCCTCACAAACCTTCATTTTAGACTGGGGGCACTTGCACAGTGTGGCAAACTCTGCTCCTCCTGGGGGTGAGGCCACAAGGACGTGTCTGCCAGCCAGGATGGGGCATTCCACCCCTCACCTCCTGGTCACATGGGGCCTTCCCTCTCTCCTGGGATCCACTCCCGGTTTTAATGCCTCCACTCACATCTAGGCCCAGAAGTTTGGAATTCTGGGGTTGCTCTGCAGAGTATGTGGTCAGAGGTCTGGTGGGAACTAATAGAATCATACACTGGTCAGAACTGTGAAACCTGGTTTTTGAAACACCTTTTAAAACTGTCCCTACCCTTTATGCAGCTGGTATTTAACAGTATTGCTAAAAGCTCCTCATGCCCAAGGACAAGAGAGACAGAAAAAACCCTAAAGGACAGAGCTCACTACTGGCACTAAACAAAAAGAGTTGTAAAAGTGATTAGAGAAGAACAGATCAGACTGAGAAAACCCTAAAATCTGAGTTAACAGCAATATTGGGGGGGGGAAAAAGGAGTTATTTCCCCAACACTCTGGATTCTCTGAGCTACACCTTGGACCTCCCACTGAAATTAAGGGGATTACTTGCCGTCCTGGATGAATAAGGATTCCCCAGAGTCAATTGTTATTTGGCATAAAATGGAAAGATCAGTTTTTCCACCTGACTGTGTGAAAAATTCTTGCTGAGGGATTCAGATTCCAATTAGAGCATCAGTGCCATGGGCAGGCAGCTACAGCATCACCCAGGATCATCCTGGAGTTCCAAACGCTGGAAAACCTTTCAGGATGCAATGACAGCTCTGGAATTCTGACTGGCTTGGTAAAATGGAGCAAAGTTTGTGGAAAAATACACAATCCATACTTAAAATAATAAGCAGAACCTCAGCATTCAGGCTTTGACAAATCAAAACTGTGACTACAATCATAAAACCCTAAAGAATGTAAACATCCAATCCCATTGCTACTGTATCAGGAAGTCATGCCCTGCAGGTATCAGGGCTCCCACTTCCATCTCATTTCTTCCAACACTTAGCACTGCTTCTTCACATTAATAATTTACTGGTGATAATTCAATTTTCTGAGTTAGCCTTTCAAGGTTTTTTCAGCTATTTTGGTCAGAAAATGGAAGATTCAACAATCTCAAGTCAGAGAACGAAAAACGCTTTAGTTTAATTTCAGGTTTTCCAAAGGGTTCAAGCACAACTCAGAGAAAGCCCGTTATTTTATTTGGAACCCCAATTTTTAGTCCACCTACCTGAGTAAAAATGGGGAAAAATATAATAAACAGGCCTGGTGAGCACATGAGGCTGAAGGATTTGCTTTCCACTCAGAAATCCCTGCTCAGAAAGACTTTGCTACAGAGCCAGAGTTACTCTGGAGAGTCAGGAGTTCTCCCAACCAAGGCCAAACTGCTACAAGTGAAACCTTCTCTCACCCAGTTCTTTCCTTTAGCAAAACCACCATTGCAAATTCCTTGCCAGTGCAAACTGCAGCTGGGCTGTGCCCCAGCCATCCTTCAGGACAGGCTCCTTCACCTTGGACTTGCTTTTTTTGGGCTGAGGAAACACTGGAGAGCAAAATGCCCTTCTCCTGAAACCTGCATGTCCCAAGGGGGGTTCTGGTTTGTCAGTTAAAAAAAATAAATCACAAACTGTCTGAGGCATTTTTCTCTGACAAAGAGGACAAGCTGAATGAGGTATCATCAGGCTCTGGGGAGGTGTGGTTGAAATCCATTTCTTCTAGTTCAGGAGGTAAGTCTGAAAGCAGTGCCTGGAAGGGAAAGACCATGACAACACAGTATTAGGTGTATTTGTTCTTTATGTCAAAATTCAAATATCTTTTAAATAAAGAGCGAAAAACTTCATTGGGTTTTTCAGTCATAATTTGAGCTGTGGAATAAACCCAAGGGAGTGACAGGACACAGAATGACAAACATCTGATATTGATGACAAACATGTTCTGATATTAATGACAAACAGCTGATATTAAACCCACCCCAGGGCTCACCTGCTGCTGTTCTTTATCATCTGATTTAATTGCCAGTATCAAACTCCGAGTGAACGTCTGCAGCTCAAAATACTTCTGCTTGTGGTTCTCCAGCTGGCTCTCAATGAATCTGACCTCTTCATTCTGGGGGGGAAATCACAGGGAGTTCTGGGAATGCTCATGGGATTGTTTGGGTTGGAAAAGCCCCCTGAGACCTTTTGAGTCCAACTGTTCTCCCAGCACTGCCAAGGCCACCCCTGTCCCCAAGTGCCACATCCACAGGGCTGGTAAATCCCTCCAGGGATGGGACTCCAGCCCTGGGCAGGACAAAGTTTTGGAATAACCCCCACTGCAGCTTTTTAATGACACCTAAACACACTTGGGTTAAAACCAGATGTTTTTAGTGAAAATGACAACCAAAGTCCAAGTGTTTCTTCCTAGCAGTGATCTTGAAAAGGCAAAGGGACTGTGAGAAGAGGCAAATAAATTCCATTATTGCAGCAGAAAGCTTGACACAAAACCCAGGGAAAATAACTTGAAAGTTCCTCAAAGCTCCCACAAATTAAAATGCAGCATCATCAGTGGAGCTGGGTCTGACATGGAGCATCAAGTGTCAGCTCACCAACCTCCCCAGGGTCCCTCGGGTCACACAATAAACAGGGATTTCACAGAATGGTTTGGGTTGGAAAGGAGTTTATAAATCATCTCATTCCAACCTTCATATAGTTATTTCTGGGCATTGAAACTAGATGTACAAAATGGGGAACTGTCAATAATGTGCATGTCATGGCTAAAAAGACATTTTTCCAACCTATACCTGCAAATCCCTTAATTAAAAATTCAGATTTGGTAAGTACTTCTGTTTATTCCAAATATCTCCTCTCCTTCAAACTTACCAACTGATTGGTGGGCAAGATCCAAATGCTGAATCTGGTGATCAGTGTAGAGCTAAAATTCATTTTCTGTGGTTATTTACCTTCGCAAAGATCATGAAAATCAAACTGTTTATTCAGGTTACAAGATCAGTCCCTGCTCATTTTTGTAAAGGGGCCCTGTATAACAGCACCAACTGTGCATCCTCCGGGAGAAAAAATATGCTATTTCTGCTTACACTTGCTGGCTGTAATTCAGCTTTAGCTGATAGGAAAAGGTGAGATTATGTGATGCACTACAGGTTTTCTGGTCTTGTTGGGTTTTTTTCCCCCAGAAAATTCCCATTTTTTGAGCGAGAACATTGCTCCCCACACTGCTTCAGGTGATAACAGCTCTGGGAATGAGAGGGGAATATTTGGGCTGTGATTTTGAGGCTTTCATAAAAAAATTAGCTGAGTTTCTTTCAGATGGGAACTCAGCAGTTCAGCACTGGATTTTGCTCAGCCAAAGAAGAATTCAGATTTAGGTAGAAAACTCCTGGATTAATCAGTGATGTCAAATGACAAACTCAGGTCTGCAGGGCACTGTCACAACAAGCCTCTCACTGCAGTGAGAGGTGACATTAAGAAAAGGTCATTCCCTCTCCACATTCATTCCCCACTGCCCTTCCCAGGAAAACGCTGCTGGAAGGAGTAATTTTTGTTCTGAAGAGGTGATCTGTTTATTATTTTGGTAATTGATTGCTGGCAGGAGAACAGACTTGGTTTCTAAGTGAAAAAAATCAGCTACACAGGGAAAGCCATGCTTAATAAAATATGGAATTATGGCAGCTCAGTGGAGCAGTAACATCCCCTCCCCTTCACCCTTAGGCAGCTGTCAGGATCCCACTGCTTTTCCTCCCTCCCACAGTCACCACTTCCAGGCATGTCCCGGGAAATGACTTCTCCTCAGACCCCCCATTTTATTAAGGATCCCAGCTGTTATGCCCCTTCCAGAGCTGGCAGCAGAAGTGTGCTGCAGCATTCCAAGGAACAACTGTCCCACAAAAAGGAAGTTGTGGTTTACAGGCTCCATAAACTGGTTTGGCACACATGGCAGGAGCTGCACCCGCAGCAATGCAACTGCTCTGTGGAATTGGGGTTTTCCTGCTTCCCTGGGGGTTGAAATATTGAAAGTGTGGCTGGAGGTGGGATGAGAGGGGACTGAGGGCAGGATGTGGACACAGGGATAAGAGCAGAGGGGCTGCCTTTGCTGAATTCCTCCCCTGAACTCCTTGAGGATTGCCCTGCTGTGCCTGACACAGCCCAGTTACTCACCTTATAATCCAAGAGAGAACTCATCTGATCCACTTCAGAATTACTGATCATATCACTCTCCTCATCATCTATAATTTCTATTTTCTGCAACAGAAGCAAACGGTTCATTTGGAACATTCCAGCACCCGGAGAAGACAAACAAGCCAGGATCCTCATCCCAGAGTGCCAGGGAGGGGTGAAGGTGACAGGAGACAACCATCCATGTCTCCAAGTGGCAGAAAGGATGCAGGGCTGTGCTGGCTCCGAGGAATCCCGAGCTGTGCAGCCCCATTAGGTGGCAACACTGCACCTCAGCCGGGATCCAGGAATCCCCAGGGAGCTGCTGCCATGGTGACTGGGCTGTGTACAGGGGAGGAGCTCCCTGGCTCCAGGATTTAGGCAGCAAATCGAACATTATATCCCCTCACAGCGCTGCTCCGAAGGAGGTTCTGGAAGTTTATCCCTCTGGAGCAAACCAGACATTAGGGCAAGTACTGATCTATTTTGTGCCTGAAAAATGAAGGAGTTCCCCTTTGGCCTTCTCTGGCCACAGGGCAAGTGAAGTGCCCTAAACAGCAGAGGATGCTGATCCAAAGGACAGTTCCAAATCCACAAACATGGATATTTTCACCTAATTCACAAAAATGTGGGGAGGTTTTTATATTGGTTTTCTAAAGACACCTAAAGCACAATGTGAAGACCAAGCTTAACGCTGATTAAAACTTAGAAATACATCCCAATCCTATCCCAAATTTTAAAAAAAAATCACTTTCACATTATTTACCAATTGCATGCTCTGTTTTCTCCCAACAGAAAAGAATGTTCTTTCTTTTTATGTAAGAAAATTCAGTTAAAAGGTTATTTCAACAGGAGAAAACACAAAATGCACACATTTTTAGTGCCTCTATGAGATTTTAATTTTTATTCCTATCTAAGGTATATATCAAACAGATAAAGTGAATGTGAATTAGTGACAAGAATGGCATTTTTCAACAGAGCTGTGAAGGATGACTGCCCAGATTTCATTATATTTGAGAGGGAAGCAGGGGTAGTATATGAAGAGGGGATTGTTTTTTAACTATTTTTAATTGGTTTGATAGTTGTGAACATCTATGAGACCGTCTATAATAAAGCAATTTTACTATGGTTTTAGGATAGTGTTTAATCCAGGCTCATGGTTGGTTCCTGAGGTGTTATTCCAGAGGAGGCTCCTTCCCTGCAGCACACCCATGTCCCTTCTCACTGCCTGCACTCCAGGCAGCAGGAATGTCCTTCTGATCCCAAGGAGAAACCCTTCCAGGGGGGTTACCAGGCTCTCCTTGGCAGGACCCACCAAGGTCCCAAGTGTGTGCTGAAAGCAGGGAGGATAAACCACATTTCCTGTGTCTGACAGCCCAGCTGAAGTGACAACACTTCAAAGGCTCCATGTCCCCGAGATCTGCTGCTCCATCCTACCCTCGGCAACACTGTGATTCAAATATTTTTGTTTTTAGGCTCAGCTTGAGGAAAGAGTCTCTAAATAAGTGCCAAACATTCACACTATCTTTCTTAGACATACACTTCAAGATAGTAGGGGAAAGAACAGATTAGAATTTCAAATAGGAAAATTGCATCTCTTATGCAAATCCAACGTATTTTAGTCCAATTTTAACTGCATTTTTAAAAAGTTTTGTGACAGTGTTTTCAGAACAAAGTGTGAAGAAACTATTCCTTGGATTTGTTCCCGTTATTACATCAAATTGCACAGTGCTGGGGTTCAGGGAACTGGAGAGCTGAGGCTCTGAGACATCATCTCTGCAAACCCTTTGCCTGTCACTTCAGATCCTGTATCTCCACAGGAGACACATCAGCCAGACCTCCGAGGGATTAGCTGAGGTCACAGCAGGACACCTGGGAGAACAGAGGGAAAAGGCAGCTGGATCTGTTCAGGCAGCCTGTGGGGTTTCAGTGTATCCAAAGCATGATCATAATTAACAAGGGAAAGGAAAAGTCTCCTCCTCCCAGGGGGAAGGGACTCTCCTGTTGCTTCCCCCCTCAGGTGCAGGGTGCTCAATGGAACACAAATGTTGTTCCCTGTTCTGAGCTATGGGTTCAGCCCTGCCCAGGAGTGCAGTGGGAGCTGGGCCATGCCCTGATCATTCTGCAGGTAACTCCAGGTAAGTCACTCACTTGGGGTCTCCTCTCCTTTCTTCTAACCTGAGAGAGGGCTGGCTGAACACAGGGATTTATGGCATTATTTGCCAGGACTCCTCCCTCTGCCTGTCCTGCCTTGTCTCACTGCTCTCAGTTAAACCAGCAAGGGGGAAAACAAGAAACACCTGAATAATGCCCTGGCCAGGGTATGGGAGTGAAGGATCCCAGAATCCCAGACCACTCTGAGTGGGAAGGGATCCCCAAGGATCATCCAGCACATTCCCACCCTACCTGACTCACCCACCCAAGGCAGATGAACCACCAGAGATACCTGCTGAAAGCTACAGAAAACCAGGTTTAATTCTGTTTTTTTTTCTCCTTCTTTCTGTTTTGCTACACTTGGTACTTTCCAAGCTCTACCCAAGAGTTGGGCTTGGCCCTCCAGAGGAAGAAGAGCAGATTGGCAGAATACAGAAAAAACGTGTAATTCCATTTCCACTGAATGTTTTAGTATTTTTTTTTCTACTGTGTTTTAGTATTTCTAGTACAGTTCTGGTGCTCCCAACCAGGAAGGGCTCTTAGCACCCTCAAGTTTCCACCTAATGAGAAACACTGATATTGGACAACCCCAGCAGGAGGAATTCAAGAGGCAAAGGAAGGTACCTACCACATTGTCAGCAGGAACTGGATTCTGGTCATCATCTTTGTGACCAATTTCTTCATTTTGAAGAGCTTCATTTGTCTCTTCTGCAAAAATAAATTAGATTTGTCAGGTTTCATTCCACTTTTATGCTGCAGGAACATTAATAGTCTTTACCATAAATATGTCACAGCTGCTAAATTCAAAAGCAAAGTCATAGTAACAATGTCTATTCATAAAAAATAACATATGTCTGATTAAAGAAGACATCCTGTCACAAGGATTTCAAGCCAATTTTCCAATTGCTACCTGAAACAATAGGAAAACTATCAGTTATTCTCTTACAATCTTCCTATTTTTTGATTCAGATTGGAATATTAAAAGAGTGTACAGAACTTTTTTTTTAATGTCAAATAAATTATTGCATGAAAAATTCTGCATTCCCTGAAATTACAGGATACATATCAGAATATCACCTGAAATTACAGGTATGTGTCTGAACCCACCTCCCCCTTGCAGACATTTTGAACCAAAAACTGAGCAACCAGATAATTTCCTTCTCATGTGGCAAATGTATCCCCACTGAACCTAAGCTGCTGTTTTATGTACAAGCACTTGAAAATAGAGCAGATTTTACCCTTATATTTCAACCACAAGGATGAAATATAGATGAAATACAGAATAGATGATTCTATTTGCCTTAATGGCCAACGAGAAAACATAACCCAAAGGAAGATAAGTCTGTTCAGCCCTAAAATTAAGTATGTTTCTCATATTTACTTGAATTTTCTGCATTAATATATAAATATATATATTTAATATAAAGAGGAAAAGAGGGAATGGGCAGCAAGGTTCAGGTAGGACACTGGAAGGGGGCAGGTGGCAATGCCAGGGTCTGTCAGCTCCACACATACACAGGGATAACAGGATTTCCCTGGGATTACCAACACTGCAAGGACAGGATAATGTTTAGGCCAGATCATACAGAGACAGTTAATTGTTTTAGGTAACTTTTCTACCAGTTGAATATCTCCAAACTGAGCAAATTTAATTTAAAATTGTTTTGAGTAAGTTTAATCTGCCATCAGTCGTGGCTTCCGAGGACAATTAGTGCCAGGAGCAACAGGAATGGGATCGAATGGGAGAACTGGAGAGCAGGAGCAGGGAAGGGCCCTCGTTACACCCAGGGGGGTGAAGGGCACTGAGGAGGCACCTCAGGGACTTGGGAACATTCCAGAGCATCAGCCACTCCATAACCCTGAGAGTCACCCCTTGGATCCCACAGCAGCTCCCTACAGCATTCCCAACTCTTTAAATATTCATCCTCAGCTCACAGAACCCAGCACAGCTCTGACCCTCCACAGGGCTGTGCTCACACAAAGCATGGATCCAATTAACATGCAATTAAAAAAGGTGAGGCAATAGAAGAGCTTTAATGCTTCATTTGGCATCACAGTACAGCTCATTTTACTTTTTTATATTTATACATTTTAAAAGCAAGAGCCATCACCAGTGTCACTCTAATCAGGTGATCAAAAATAGCTTTTTTTCTGTCTTTCAAAGTGGTTTTTGTTGTGGTGATTTTGGTTTTTTTAATAAATTAGGACCAAAAGTTACAGTTCTCAAACATTAAAACAATCCCTATCTGTGACTGAATGGCACACATGAGTATTAGGGGAAATATTTTCCAGGGAGTTCAAAACAAGCTGAGCTGCAGCAGTGAAACCTCCTCCTTTGAACTGGAGAAATGAATAGCAATAATTGTTGTGGGAGAATAAAGGAATGAAAGTGGGATTCCTGGATGCTGTGGAAATCCTGTCATTTTTCTTGCACTTCCTTAGGCTTTGACACTAATAATCTACTCAAAGTCTTCCAGCCTTATCTTGTTTTATGAAAGCCTTGCTCAAAAAAAGTGCTGTTATTTCTCACTTTAACTACAGAGGGTTCAGACTCTTCCCCTGTCACTGTTTTCTTTCAAGCAGATCTGACTTAAATCAGCTCTTTCCACACCTCAGGCAAATCAAGGACTCGGAGATTCTGCATCTCACTTGCCTTTCAATCATTTGACCCATTTCTTTATCATCTTATTCTCTTTCCAGCAGGTTATGACAAAGCCATCACAAATTCCTTCCCAGCAGCTCTCCCTTTTCCTGATTCTTCCCTTGAAATTGTTCTGACAAGATGACAAGATCAAGCCTGGCACACTGAGCTGCACCAGCAGGCCCGAGGTCAGGCTTTCTTTTAGTTTAGAGAGCAAAGGCTTTATTGATCTCTCTAATCAGAAGCACTGGGAGCAATTAGTGAGCTGTGGATGTGCAGAGCAGCTCGTGGGGCCCAGGGCTCATGGACAAGAGGGGAAGGGAGGGATCGATTCCATGTGCTCGTGGGAGGTGGAGGAAAAGGGAATTAAGTCCGAGACACTTCTCACTCCAGACCCTGCAGTTTTCCAAGGACACACCCTGTGGGTGCAGCTCTGGCCAGTTTGCAGAGAGCATTTTTTAAACCTGGCTTCCTGGGGAAGGGAGATTCTCCATCTGTGCTGTCAGTCCAGCTGTCAGCTGCACCAGCAAAATGTGAACTTGCCATTTAATGTCATGTGAATGAGGCAGAAATGGAGCTCTTATGAGAAAAGGCTCCTGCAATTTCTGTGATAACAAAGCCAACAGAACTCAGAGAGAGGGAGAAGAAAGAGACCAAACAGTACCTTCAACAAGCCGAGGTGGAGCCCTTGTGACTGTGAGAGACTCTTTCAGACGTTTGTGAATGTGAACAACAGAATCCAAAGCATGCACACTGCACAAAATTAAAAATACAGGCACAGCAGTAACTGCAATTCAAATACCTTGTGAGCTTCCTTCAGATAAGCAGATTGACACTTCATCATTCCTATCATTATCATCCCCCACTTCAGTAGCAGTTTCCTCTCCTGGATTAAGTGCTGATTTAGAAACAAATTCAGATTGATCAGAGAAATCAGCAGGACCTCCTCTAGGGGGTGGGACCTCAATCCCCATTAAACGATATTTCCGTCTTCGATTCCCAATCCAAGTCTTGTAAGAGAAATAAACATGAATGAATCAGAAACTATGACAAAGCAACAGGCCCCCAACCAAGTGACATCAGCACATCTGCACTACAGGAACAAGAGTGCAGCAGCACTGCAGGGGAGGGCTTATTCCCCCTGTTTGACCCTCATGAGGCTGATTCCTGGGATCCTGTGTCCAGGCTCAGTCCTCCAACACAAGGGAGAAGGGAAGGTGCACAGCGAAAGGAAAAGCAGCAACAGGCACAAGTGGCAGCAAGGGAAGCTCTGACTGGAGTTGAGAAGAAAAGGAAAAATATTCTTTCCAGTGAGGCACAGGGACAGTGTGTCCATAGGAACCTTGGCACTTCCAGCCTAGAAGGTAACTCAGCATTTTACTGGACATCATCCTGGGAAACTTGACCTGACTGCGAAGTCAATCCTGCTCTAAATAAAGAGCAGGACTAGGTGACCTCGTAAGGTCTCTCCCCACCTAAATTATTCAACAAATTTAAGATCTTTGATCCAGGTTTCTCCCACTCTGCAACTTCCTTAAGGGGACTAAAGTGACCCAAACATCCCACCTGTTCTAGGATTTCCTACAGGGAATTGGCCAGGGTGACAGATCTACATCACTCCACTCTGAGGACAGAACACTAAGTTCAGAGTAGGATCATCCTTTGTTCCCCTGTGGTTGGAAGACAAGGCTTTAGGAAGCACTGCCTGCAGGAAGGCAGAGGAGCCCACTGGGAACAATGGTGGAAGATGGAACAGGCCCAGGACCCAGGAACCTGGAAACCCATTCCCAGTGGGATGGGTATGGATGCTTTAAGTTCATTTTACATCAATAAAACTAAGTTTCAAAAAAGAAAAAAGGGAAAAAAAAACCCCTAACATTCCAAATTCTCCAAGTGGATCTGTAAAACTGTTCATTAATTTGCTTTCTCTGACAAAGAAAAGTCTACACTAAAAATTATTTAAGACCCAAACCAGGGTTTAACATGATAATTGTCTGCACCTCTTCACCTTTTAACTCTCTCCCTTCCCTTCCATTAATGAGGCTTTTTTCTGATATAGAGCACAAAAAAGTTTAGTAAAAAACTTGTTGCTTGTAATACCTTGATTATCAAAGAGAAAAATAAAAAAATATTAACAGCAGTCCCAACTACTAAAGGCAGCTTCATGCTGTGCTAACCTTGAAAAAAAGATCTTTTCAAGCTGCATCTCTAACTAGCTAAAAGGTGACATGCTGAACACTATTTTTGGCAAATCCTTTTTGTTGGGTGGTATTTGCTTTCCCAGCTTGCTGGTTTTCCTCTTTGAAGAATGCACAACAGGCACACAGAGAGCTACCCAGATAATTTTGTATATTATATATTGTTCGGGGAAAAAATAAAAAAAAAAAAACACAAGCAGCCCTTTGAGATCTGTATCTCTTTTTTCCAAGCTGTGTATTGCCATTCTTTAAATTTTCCCATAATCTTGTGATGGTAATAAATAGTGATAGCAACTAGAAAATTTAAAATTGAATCTAATTCTTTTTTAGTAAAAAATTCAGAGCAAACTGAGGCACTTGGGAAAGGCAGATTTTGTCTTTTTATAGACCTTTCAAAGCAGAAAAGCTTTCATTGAACATATTGAATATGTCATAGAAGATGAACATGTTTTTGTAGTGCCACCAGCTTTTACCTGGTGAACTGCTGGCAAAGAGGAGGAGATGTCTTTACCCTACAGTGGGTGCTTAGGAGTAGCTTTGATCTCTTATATCCAAAAGCTTTCTGTTCTATTATTAAAAAAAAAATATATAAAATTGTTATGCAGTTTTCTTATATTCCTCCCATATTTCTGAGGAGCTTCATAGCTGAAATTCCTCCTTAGCAAATGTCTGTCTTGCTGCCAAAAGGGCTATTCTGCTATTCTTCTATGAATTAATAAAAATGTGTAAAGAAAAACAAACAAAAAAACCCCCCACAAAACAAAGAACCCAAACCAAAATGTAATCAGCAGTAGTTATAATGTAAAAAAGAGAAATATTTTAAGTTAAAGAGGTTTTGGCTGGAGTTCAAATATTGAAATTTGTTGAGTGTTATTTTTTATACAGACACACACACACATATATATAAACCCAAGTATGTGTATATATATATATATATGTGCACTTGGGTTTATATAGACACTCAGTACTACTTTATATATGTTGCATTTATTTTTTACATCACAATTCTTGCTACAATTCCCAAGTCTGCCATATAGAGGAACCAGAGGCAGAGGTGAGGCAGACACTGGTAACAATAAAGAAGAAAAGATATCTTTTTTTCCTTCATTTGTGTGTGTTTTGATACAGGTTATGCCAGAGCCCTGCCCTGAGGACAAAAGCATTGCAGCAGATTAAAGGTATGTACAGAACTTCACAGTGTCACCCTGTGTGATTCCTGAGGGAGCAAACTAAGGGAGCATGGATGTCACTGTCCTGGAAATGAGCTGTGTCATGTCCAGGAGATGCTGGCGGTGGGAACAGCTCCACCTTTCAGAAAGCAAACTGAAGAGCTTGGGAAATAGGGAGCAGCTTTGTTCTCTGCAGAGAAAAGAGTAATTCTTTTCAGCCTCCAAAAGTACAGTTTAGTTTTTTAGAATTCAGGTGAACAAGCAAAATAATCAGATCTGTCTTAACACTGAGAGTAGCTTTGGTACCATTCTGATGTTCCAACCCAGAGGTCTCCCCAACAGGAGGGTTTCAGTAAGGGCTCCCAGTTCTGCTTTTGCAGCAATGTCAGGAATTTAGGAAAGAGCTGGAAAAAGAGGATGGAGACTGAAAAGACTGATCACAGTTGTCCTGCCTGTTATGGAGGCTCTTGTCATGTTTTTGTCAGACTGAAGGACAGCCAGACTCTTTCCTGAGGATGGACACACCTTGAGTGACTGAGACCCCCCAGCTGGAGAGTGATGCTGTATCTCTGCTCATCTGGGACACAATGGCATCAACTGAGGCTGTACCAAACTTCCCAACTTCTGGAAGAGATAATTTGGGGTGTTCTTGGGAGTCAGGTGATCTCCACCACCCCTGTACCTTGTAAAGCAATCCCTCCTCAGCCACACCTACATGGACTATCAAAGTGAACCCAGAATTGTTCACAGTGCCCTGTGCTCTCCATCACATCTCAGCCTGCCCTCAAGACACTCCTGTTAAATAGTTTTTTTCCTATTTTGGAGCACTTTCTTTCACATGTTTTTTTTCCTATAAGCATGAATGAGAAATCCTTTCCCTTTGTCTATAGAAAAGTCTTTTTTTGGTATCTTAATAGCAATACAAATAGCACCTTTCAGTCTTCTAGGATCTCCCTACAAAATGAAACATTTTTACTTAAAATCTTACTCCAGAGGATGTCAAACAGCTTGTAGTGCTGCTTCTGCTGCTGATCAGTAAGATCTTACCTGAGGGCTTGTACTATATATAGATGCAGAAAGAGCAGGAGAGCACTTCCCAGCGTGGTCATTCATTATGTAATACGTGATATCTATTTCAAGCTTCCTCATGAAATTTTTAAAGCCTTTCATCTGTCCTATTTTTGCTCCAGCGACAAGATAAGGGAAGACTCTGGATTTCTTACCCGCACTATTTCACAGTCAACATTTAATTCTGCAGCCACAGCTTCAATTTTCTCTCTGCAGACTGAGCCCAGGCTGGTCATGCCATTGTCCCAGTATTTCTTTAGGGTGGCTAAGTCTCGGTCACTAAATTGTGTGCGGTCCTGTAACTGCAAGATAAAAAACACACTGTTAAGATTTCAAAAAAAATCTGCTTATCCCATTTCATTGCCAGAGGTCTCATGTACAGTAAGATATAAGTGGTACTGTCTCCATGGCTCTTCTTCTCTTTTAGCTCTCCCTTAAGAGTTTATTTTTTTAAAGTTTGGGGTTTTTTTATTCAGGGCAGTTCAGAGTTCCCTGGGATTTGCTTTAAAGGCAGTGGCAGGTTTAAAGCACTTCAGCTTTGTTTCAACTCCACCTGATTTTTTTTGTCATTTTTTTATCTCATCCTATAAGGCCTTACTGAAAAGAACTTTTTTCCCCTTGTGCCGTTTACTCTCTCCACCCAATTTATGCAAATTACTCCTTAAAGCTTTTCAAGTTTCTCACCCTCCCCCCCCTTAAAGTTCTTTTATCTTACTGCAAACTACAATACATGCATAATTCAAAGGATTCTGACTTCCTAAAGGGAATACTTTAATGTTTATTTGGGAAGCTTGAGTTCAATTGGTTCCACTGTTTATCTGTGAGTTCCCAAACTCTTTGTCTACACTTATCAAAATATGTGATAGTGGATCACTGATAAAAGGAGTAACACTGAAAAAGAACTCCTGAACATCCTACCACTGCTTGAACTGGGGTGGGCACAGAGTGTATTTCTCTGGTAGAGCTTCCAACCTTTATCAAAAGCTTGTCACCCAGAATTTTAACTAAAATCTACAGTTTCTTTACACCAACCCATGTCTGTCACCTCTCCTGCTATTCAGAGTGCAGAGATGCAACCACAAAGTCTGCACTGTGAACTTGTAGCCCGTGTAGCCCATTTGTCATTATTTCAGTAGTTCATTTTGTTCATGATTGCAATAGCTGAAATCTGTTTGCTCATTTAAAAACTGTGAAAAGTTAGAATGAAATAATTTAAAAATGGAGTAAAACGGAATTTTGCAGAAATAGGATCATTTGACAACCTTGTAGAGTTACCAGTTCTAGCTTTTGTTAATCTGCAGAATATGGCAATCCTTACAATTTTCTTCTTTTAAAAATCACTTTTTAAAAAAATGTTAGAAGCACTTGAATCACTTTAATGTTGAACACGAAATAGGGGTATCAAACCCTTGTCTCCTTAAAATAATCCTGGGAGCCACAGTAATACATGTATCAGGTATATTCAAATATGGTTCAGTTGGACTTGATGACTTTTGAGGTCTTTTCCAACTGTCACAATTCCATGATTCTATGATTATTAACTGCAACCAGGCACTCAGGAGTTTTTCCTGGCTATCATTTCATCCATCCAAGTCCAGAATGACAGAAGCTGTTCCCATCCCACCCATCCTTGGCTGATGGTACCCAGGGGCAGAGTGGAGCATCCATGGACACAGCACAGCCAGAGCCACTCTCCTGCCTCCTGCACACCCTGAGCAGCCACAGCACAGGAGATGCTCCCAGACAGCAAGCTCCAGGCTATTTTCATCCAAAAGGAATCCACTTGGCACATTTCAAGACTGCTCCAGGCTGAGCAAAGTGCAGCAAAGCCAAATCCCTGGTGCCCGTTCACCCTGAGCCGAGTCGTGCTCCTGGCACACCTGACCTGAGCTGCTCCTACCTACAAGCCCTTTCCAAGGAACAAAAGTGTAGTTATCTCCTGGATCACTGCAGCAACAGCTCCTTTTATAGCTGTTGGCAAAATAGATTGACTTCCAAAAAGACTGCTCTGTGGTGGGGGAGCTGAGAAAAGGGAAGGCAGAAAGGAGAGTGATACCAACACCCTAAATACACAGAGAAACAAGTCACCCCAGCCTGGCCTGCACTCCTGAATGCTCAAGGCAACCTCACCTTCCAAAGGACACTGAGCATTTTTGAAACATAAATAAATAACATTTCTTGTTGGTTCTGGAGAGCTCAGTGACAGCACTGCTGCAACCACTGACAGGGAACTCCCAGCTCACTGTGATCTGTGCTCAGTGGGAGCACAAAACACGACATGCACAGCTAAAGGACCCCCTGGAACACACTGTGGACATTCCCCCTCCCAGCAGAGGGGTGGAATGGGAGAAGCAAAAAGAAACCTGTCTGATGTTACTGCCCAGGGAAGGGAGCAGCCCCACTCAGGGTTGTCTTCTCCCACTTAAGTTTGTTGTGTTGGCCAAATTAGAACAAAACCCAAAGAAAGAGCAGCTGCTGCTGGAGGGAGCTCAGGTTTCTGTTTGCCACGTGATTTTCCAATTATCTAAGAAATGCTTGTACTGAAAGAACCCAGGGAAGAACTGGCCAACAGGAATGTGAGACGCAAGAGGATCCTGCACTGGACAAAGACACAGAGTGACTGACTCAAGTTACCAAAGGGATGGTGTTCAGGAAGGGCGCAGAGCCTGCTCAGCTTTTACTTACTCAAAACAAGAGGAAAGCAGCCACCTGACCTTCAAAACTTTTACTTAAAAATGCAGTCTCACATCTTTTCCATTTTAGATGGGTGGATGTTAATTCTGATCATCTGCTACAAATGTTTCAATAAAAATCTTATTAGATACATCACTATTCAATGGTTTTCACCTCACAACTGCTATAAAATTTTGCTACAGGTTGTAGAGTCAGTCTCAACAGTTTAGATCAAAGCAGATGTTTTAAAGTTTAGAGAAGTCTCCTGTAGCTACACTCTCAAAAAGGTCTTTTGCAGCCACTTGCTGTGGAAATGAAAGGAGGAAAAAATAGGAGGTGGTATTTTTTTACCTCCTTGTCAAAAACAATCCCCAGTGTTTCAGCTGACAACGTGTATTTTTGATTTTTGCTGTTGCAGTTGCTGCCACACCAGGCACCTCATCCTGTCCCTCATCCCAGCAGTACAGGAATCACCCTGACACCCACCACAGGGCACAGAGGAAATGGAGAAGAGAGACCCCAAAAGATGATCATTTCCACACCCTGCTCTCCTTTGCTGCACCATCATCCTGGGCTCAGTGTCAGCCCTTAAGCTCTCTGGATGTTAATAACACTTCAGCATGTCCAAATTTCAGATCCAGATTAACTGCCTCCATGTAACATGCTGTGCCATGTGCCTTAATCAGCAATTTCTTAGGGAAATCACAAACTACCTTCAATTACAGGATCATCCCCTTGACATGGATTATACTCAAGTTTGACTCCTGCATTATAAACTGCTTAAAAATTACATAATGCTTTTACAACAGTCAATGACTTTTGTGAGAAAATAAAGGGTAGAATTTCTACACTGAACATGTAACTATGCTTCCATCAATGTAGTTGATAACCTTCTCATGCTTAATATCATCAGGGGAACTGAGGAAGCAAGAGGAAAAACTCAAGTCCTACAAATATCTTAATATTCACAGTTATGGGGAAAAATATCAGAAGATAATATTGAAAAGCTTCATATTTATGGCAATACTATCTACAGATGAAGACAAGGCAGTAATTCAGTTCTTATTTTTACTTCATTAAATCAAACTATGAACTCAGTTCTCATTTCCTCTCTTCAGATCCTGGGTTTGCCAACTCGAGGCTCAGCTTTACCCCCAGCAGTGTTGGCTGTTGGCTGAATTCCTCACATTGACCACTTTTGTTGTCCACAGTTAAAAAAAGTCAGGAGAAGCTTCTTCCAGCAGCAAGCAGCCTCTCAGTTCCCAAGGAAAAGCAATCCCGGCGAGCAAATTGAATCAGCAGTTCTGCCGCGCGCAGGGTTAAACCCGGCTTATCCCCCGACCTCCCAAGTGTAACAACAACATCCTTGGAAGAGATGACCCAGTTTATTATAAACATTCCTGGCACTGTGCCGACCCCTCATCACACCCACTGTGCAGGCAGGATCTGTGGTGCAAATCCGGTGTCTATAATTGGGATGAATAATTGCCCGGCAGTGGAGTGTCCTTATCCTGCCTTTTATTAGAGCCTGCTTTTTTAGATCCAGTTTTATGCACGAGTTGAAAATGTTTCAGGCCACGTGCACAAAAGCTGTACACAAATCTCAGATTATTAATCAAAGACATGCTAAAAAATGAAAGAACTGGGGGTTTAATATAAATGTAGTAACTACTGCATTTATGGTGCAGCTGAGCACTGTGTGTTGGGTTCATTTAAACTCCAGTGAAATCACATTAAATCAACATTCAGTTCTGATGCTTGGTGATGAAATGGGCTGAGGTAATGGTTATTTTTAGCAAACAAACCTCTCATAACAATTTTTCCGTGCCTTTGATCCCTGTCACTGCTCCTCTGTTGTATTTTGGGAGGGATGGGAAGATCAGAAGCGAGCACGGCATTCAAGGTATGAACAAATCCCAGATTCTTCTGTACAAGCACCGTGTCAGTTTTTCCTTCCCAATGACACCATCGTTCAGCTCTCTGAACCCTGACACTAATTAATGTCTGATTTTTTCCGGGGATTACCAATTCCTATCCCAAGATCTTATTTATATATATTAATAGTTATTTCTGACCCATTTTACTATGGTTTCTCCTTTCCCATCTGCACCATTTAATATGAATCTTACTCTTGTTTATTATTTCTTGATTTCCCATATACAAATTCTGAAGGTCTGCATTGTCCCCTAACACTACCAAGATATTTAACCTCATTAAAGCTGTGCCAGATGCCACATTCCTTCAGTCTGAGGTTTTAGGTTCAGGTTTCACCAGTGCCCCCATGTCAGTGACACCCCGATCCTGCTGCTCACACACAGCTGCACAAACTTCAGGCACAAAGGACTTTGGAAAAGCAGTATCTGAAGGCACCTTAAACTCTTACTGCTGACACACTCTTAGGGCACACACTATTAGATTTCTGCACCAGAAATGGTTTGCATGCTTTCCCACTGGCTGGGGAAGCCTGAAGTTTGATCTGATGGAAGCAGAACTCATCAATATTTCACAGGACCCTGGTGTGAGAAGAGCTGTAAATCTCCTATGAGCTTCAACACTCAGCCAAAATTATATATATTCTGTTAATATCTGTTTCTAAACCAAACTCAGCTAAGAAGATGAAAGAAAGGGAAAAAAGGAAAAAGAGCTATCAGTGCAATGAACAGTCTAGCCAAAAAATCACACTCTGAACCCCAGTCATCTCACCCTGTGATTTCCAAACCAACCCTCAATCCACACAAACTGAAAATTTGCCCTTCTTCTTGAGATTTTGAACTAGTTTGTTAAATACTGAACATTCAGCCCCAAAGTAAACTGATTTTTAGATGGTAATTATCACGATTCTTAATTAATCTATTAATAACTTCCTCACATTAGACCAGAAAGTCTGTTTTCCAACTCCTGCCCAGGTGTGACATATTTCTGGCCTGCAGGTCATGGCACACAGTAAGCCAAGGTGGTTTGTGGCACTTTGGTGCAGCATGTCATATAATAAATAAAAAGATGTATTTAGTCTGCAGTGATGACCAGACTTGCTCTCCCTTTGCATTCCCTGAGGATTGCTGCTGGACAAAGGTGCTGTTCCCGGGAGGAAGGCCAGGACATGCTATGGATCATCTCATGAAGTATCTTGAGAGAGGTGGTGAAATATTCCCCAGGAGGAGGAAACACATTAACCAATATTCCCAATGACACCAAGTATGAACAAGGACAGTTTCCCACCCAGCCCTGTGGAGACCCTCAGCTTGGCTCATCTCCCTCCCTGAAGATCCCAACTGTCTTGCTCAGACATGCTCCAAGCAACTTCACTAAACCACTTTTCTTCCCTCCTGGGAGAGCAGAGGAATCTGAACAGGTGAAGAGAATTTCATGTTGGTGCAGTCTGAAAACAAAAAGGCACAGCTGAGGTGCCCTCTGACTCCAGGCAGCTTTAATCCCTGTGGGGGCTTCACTGTAAAGCTGCTCCAGTCATATCCACTTACAGCAGCAGACAGTTTTCAGGAGTCTTTCAGACTCATTCCAAGGAGCATTTTCCTCAGCAGTTCCACTGCTGTCTCCCCCCCCCAATCCAGCTGTATTCCCCATGCCCATGGATGTGCCACGGAACTGGTGGAGGTCTCACACTGACCTGGGTTAGAGCAGCTCCTCCCCCTGACCCAAAGTGTGCCCACTGCTCTCCTCCTGTGGCAGGAGGACTCCAAGGGGGGACACTTTAATGCCACTTTCTCCAGAGTTTTATTCAAACAGGCCATGAGCAAAGAGTAATTTAAAATCAAAATTCAGCACAGGAACTCTCTCTACCCATTTCAGGTACTTCCCCTCCCCAAATACATGTCAGACTGAGAGCCCCCAGGACCCAAGATGAAGCTCTGGGCAAATCAAAACCCCTCTTTTCCCCCAAAATAAAACTTCACAGCTAAGGCACAGCTTACCCAGAGCCATCACCTGTGTGACAAATGTTTTCCATATCACACCAACATATTTAAATGTACCCCAAACACTAACCATTCTGCTGGGACCTCAGATGACACAGAGCTGAAACACAGTCATACATACATTAAATCTAAGGGCAAAAATGAAGATATTTTCCCCCTTTTAATGCTCTTTAACCAATATCTCTACTGCTATTTTTGAATCCTTGTTATCCTTCCACCACCCTGTGAAAAACCAAAAATCAATGCATTTATAAAGGCCAATGCACATGCACCAGGACAGAACACAGAACTCTGTAACTTCCAAAGGCCCTCTCATGAGTAACTGAGAGGGTGATATTTCTAGACTAATATTCATTAACAATCAGGATTACATCATCTTCCAGCAGAGAGAAAGAGTTTCTGCAGAACTGCACAGCTTTTATTTCTCTCCTGATGCAGCTGAAGGACAGGACAAGGAAAACAAAACATCAAGGCAAAAGATTAAAAATTCAGAGCATCTAAAAGACGATCTTCTCCATTTTAAACAAAATCCAGATTAGCCTTTTTCCTGTTTGAATGGCAGTAATTGCCATAATGGCACTTCTACAACTCCAGCCATTCTATTTTTGCTCCCTCACACTCTTTCTTCAAAAGGATTTCACAGTTGAAAGTGAAGTTTTTTAGGAAGTAGGAGCTGCTTCTCTCTGTTTGTTGTCTTACACCTGCCTGTACACAGCAGTTTTAGGGTGCCAGGTCCTAACCCTGTTTCCTTAGGGAGGCTGATTCTGCATTCCAACCAGGAAAGTGCCTCCACAAACCTGGACACTGATGTTGTCAAAACAGATTGTATTAACCAATGGGTTTATGCATTTTATTGATTAAAAATACACAGGGGTAAAGGTCTAAGGAAAAAGAATTCCCTAATAACCATTCTTAATGGCCCCTCACTGTAAGGAAGACATTGAGGGGCTGGAGCATGTCCAGGGAAGGGAACAGAGCTGGGGAAGGGGCTGGAGCAGCAGGAGCAGCTGAGGGAGCTGGGGGGGCTCAGCCTGGAGAAAAGGAGGCTCAGGGGGGACCTTCTGGCTCTGCAACTCCCTGACAGGAGGGGGGAGCTGGGGGGGGTCGGGCTCTGCTCCCAGGGAACAAGGGACAGGAGGAAAGGAAACAGCCTCAAGCTGTGCCAGTGGAGGGTCAGGTTGGATATTAGGACATATTTTTTCATGGAAAGCCCTGGCACAGACTGCTTAGGAGTCACCAGCCCTGCAAGTGCTCAAAAAAGTGTGTGGATGTGGCACTTGGGGACCTGGTTAGTGGTGAACACGGGGGTGGTGCTGTGCTGGCAGCTGAACTCAATGACCTTAAAGGTCCTTCCAAACCTTAATGATTGTATGATTAATAAACAGGCATCTCCACATCCTTGAAGGTTTTAAACTTACTGCAGAAATGTCTTCTCCAGCTTGTGTCAGGGATCAGCATGACCACCATGCCCCAGGAACCCAGCCAGTGCTGCAATGAGGGGCCAGCATCACATCCCACTCCCAGCCACCTGCTCCTGCTGCCCACTCTGAGCTGGCTCTGGCCCTCCCCTGATCCCCAGTAAGGGCAGTCAACTCTAAAGACAAACTCAGCAGCAGAATATGTACCTGACAGCTCACACACTCCCCTGGGCTACCCTGCAATTAGATATTGGCTGTGGATGGGGTGGCAGGGGGAAAACCTCCCCCTTTCAACAGTGAAACTGTACTGAGGACACTCAGCAGCTGCTTTAAAAGGTCATTAAGTGATGAGGGGAAGGTGCCTTCCAGACAAGAGCTACATTTTAAAAAGCCTACCCAAGAGAATTAGCACTTAGGGAAGAGAAAAGAAGGGCTGAACACAACAGGATTTGTATGAAAGTACCAGTTCCTCTGGGAGATGCTCTTCTGAAGTGCTCTCTGTGTAAACTGAAATAAGTGATACCACCAAAGCCTGCAGAAACTGGAAGTGCTACAGCTGAGACCTGGAAAAAGTCTGAGAGAAAACACAGTGCTACGGTTCTTAGATTCCTACTTATGTAGGAAACTACTATAAACTCACACTTTTTGGAGACTAAACAGAATAACCAAAATTAAAATTAAAGAAAAAACCACTGGTTACACCAGAAGATGGTAAAGAACCTTCCATTACCCAGACCTCACACTGCCAAAGCAGCACCCACTGCCAGGACACTGCCAGCTCCATGGACTGGGGGTTTGGATGGGTAAGTTTGGGTTCCATGACAGACACCTCCCTAGTTATTGGATCTGGTGGAGCAGCCTCTGGAGAGCTTGGCTGTACCACCCAACCCACAGGCTCAGAGGGGATTTTCATGGTGATGAAGCAGAACTGAAATGTTTTCAAAGAGAAGCCAGAAATGTGAGCAGTAATCAAACAAAAGAGTTGGACAGAGGGGTTTTTTTCCCTGACAAAAGCTGTTGTGTTATGGTTTGGAGTAATTTCTGAATTGAGGACACCAACCTGGCTGATTCTGCTAATGTGAAATGACATGTATGTGGATAAAATTACACTTTAAAGTTCCTACAGACAGCCCAGACTAATTCTGTGCATGTGCAGAGAAGCTGCACAGGGAGTCACTCTCTTAAGCATTCAGTTGCCCCAATTAACAATCATTTTATTTGCAATATAAAAAACATATTCTGAGCTCCAAACTCCCAGTCCATCAATTCTAATGTAATATTTCACCTAACAGACAATTCCCACACCTGAGCATCACATCACTTCACACAGGATTATGACCTTGGCCTGCTTTTAAAGATATACATCAAACTTTACCTCACCTGAAACATTGCACCTGCAGATAATGTTTGTTTTAGTCCAAGTATAAAGGGAAAAAATTCAACACAAGGTAAACAGAACTGACATTTTCAAAAATGCATTTTTTTCAACTTTCCATTGCTTCACTTGATGCATTAGATACTTAAATAGAAATGTACTTACTGCTCTTTTTCTGGAACAACCTGTAATCCAAGGCACAGTAAGGTTTCCTGAAATCTGTAGAGGACAAGGAGGAAACAGAACAGAAAACAAGAGCAGCTTAAATTGCTGTGAGAGCTAAAACTTAGCAGCTTTCCCGAGACTTCAGCACTGTACATTCAATTCAGGTAACAATGTCTGTGAAACAGGTTAAGATTTACAAGCAAAGTCCCACTGGGCCTCACTGTTAAGCCTAAACACTGTTTTTCTTTGGGTGAGGGTAAGATAATGAGTATCTCAAAACTTGTATTTTCTTTGGCCAGATTTCTCTTCTGGCCTGTCCCCAGACTGGCAGGACCGAGCAGACGAGTCAGACAAGGGCTGATGTCCAACAGAACTGCCCTCACAGTTTTCTAAACTACGTCAATTAAACTTTCTGAAAAAGTGCTCTCGTGTTCATCACGGAGCTGTTCACTGTCAGATGACAAGGATTGGAGCATTAGCAGAAAAGTTAGGGATATAAGGTTGGAGAAGGAAGGAGAAGGGGTGTGAAGGTAAAGGTTAGCTGCCTCAATTTCCATTGCTTCCCCATCATTCCCAGAGGTCAGACATTATTAAATAATAATCTCAGACTGTTTTCCCTGGCCCTCTGAAATGTGTCGTAGCCTGGAATATTTTAGGCTGATTTAGGATTCCATGTTCATCTTTGCTGCAGACAAGCAATGCTTGAGACACTAAACACAGCTCTTATATTAATCCATCTCAGGTCATATCTGCAATCTGAGGAAGAAAAACCTGTGTGGTTCTGCTGCCTGAGCCAAACTCCACGAATAGTTTTTATACTTGCAAGGTGCTCTCCTGATGACTCCTGCAGCATGAGCACAACCAAACCAGCATCCCTGGGACAGCTGGCTGGGGTACAAGCACACAAGACACTTTTATTCTTCAGGCTTTCAGCTGGAAGCACCTGGGGGCTGCCCAAGGTCAGACACTTTCTCATTACAGCACACGGTGGTTGTGGGGGGTAGAAATGAGCATCATCCCCTCCTAAGGGCAAATCTGCATCAGATTTTAAGGCTAAAATATTAATTTCTTCACTGCACACACGTCATAAACTCTGTATAAACATGTTACATCTATTACTATCCCATATCCCACACAACAGCTTCACACCACAGAATCCACTGTAAAGGCACCATGAGCATCCACCCAGGCAGCTCCTCTTCACAAATTTCAAGTGGGGCTACAAAGAAAAAGTTCTTTTCTGTGTCAATAAAGCAAACTCAGCCAGGGTTGCTGAGTTTTAAGGGTTGCCAGGAAGACAAATGCATACAGGTTCTGACAGGTAGGAGGCCAAATACAGACAAGTTCATCTCAGCAGAACTGCCTGAAAGACAACGTGCATGGCAGAATTGTGAAGTGCCATGATGAAAAAAAGGCAGAAGGGTTGGGGTTAAGTTTTTTTTGGGGGGGAATGTGTGTATTTTTAGAGTAAGATGGATCATTATCCTGCATTCACAGGTGTAACTCCAGTCCTGGTCCAACTGGGACAGCTACAAAAGTGATGACCTGAAATGCCTGACTCAGATATTGTGCCTCAGAAACTGCAGATCTGCCAGAGACACTCAGAGGTGCTGCAACCCTTGAGCTGTCCCTTCATCAAAGGGGTTACACTATACAGGGCCCTACATAATCTTTTCCCAATTCACCTGTAGATTTTATATCCCAAACTCAGTGCACTGGACCAAACCAGGAGCTGGTTGCTGTGTTCCAGCACTGCTTGGGGCCACATTTGGTGTTTTTGCAGGAACCTCACAGGTTCTCCCCACTCATTCTACAAAGCAGCATCCCCGAAGCCAACTCTATAATTAAATAAATATATATATATACCTGCATAATCTATTCTGACTGAAAGGCTTTGGATGCTCTCTTAAAGTAGATAGGGTTAAATTAGATACTGTGTTTCAGTGTTTATAACAAAGTAATTAAAAATACACATCTTCAACAGTATTTTTGGCCCCTAGGGAGGAGGAAGAAAGCAAAACTAAACCCCAATTCAGCCTCAAGGACAGCACAAACAGCCTCTCTACTTCTGCACATTTAAAAGTCAAACTAAGACAAGGAAGAAGGTTGAACAATTTGTTTACTGAAACTGCTCAGGCATTAAAATTGATCACTTAATTAAATTTAGTCTTAAGTTACACTAACATGAATTTGATTAATTGAACCAGTAAGGAAGCTATAACTAATTGCTAATTAGATACCTCACCAATACACGACAGTAATTACTTCATCAAAACACAAATCACACAGTCCTGACTTTGAAGAAGCATCTGCTTGGATGTTCCAACTATTGCAATAATCATTTACCTCAAGTTTAATCTATTTTTAAATTCAGGAAGATCTCCCCAAGTTTAAGGATTTTCATTCCTATGCTTCTGGATAAATTAGCTAAACATGGGCAATAAAATAAACATGAACTGACTACAAGAAAAGGATTCAGACAGCACCTTATGAAATCTCTAATAGCCAGGAGGTTCACAGGGTGCCTGCTCACAGCAATAAGGGAATTAATAGCAACCTGCTCAGGTGTTCCAAGGTTTAAAACTCTGGAATAAAAAGGGATATGATGGGAAAAAAACCAGCTCCCTCTATATAAGTTGCATTCCCAAATCCAAAGAACAAGGTCCCTGAGGCAGACAGGGAGGTCAAACAAGTACAGATGAATTCAGTTCTCAGAAAAAAAAGTAGATTATTATAACAGGAGAGAAGTAAAAGAAAAACCTAAAAACAGTTATAGAGATCTTGTTCTGATCTATATCACACCACCCAGATGGATAAAATGTCACCTACCATGAACTGTTTCAGCTGTTTAAAAAGACCATCCCTACCCCAAAAAAATCAAAGTTATTCCAAATTTCATTAAAAAAATAAAAACAGAGGAAATAAATCTCTCTGATGTTTTTTCAAGAGTGAAATAAGCTCCATGAGCACAGAGCTGGAGGTGTCACTAATGGATTTCACTTCATGAAACTTTAGAAAAATGTCCTTAACTTGACCATAAGCACTTTTACCAGCCCTTCACTGGACAAATCTGCACATTTACAGCCCTTCCTTTCCTATGAAACTGGGATGTCAAAAGAAAACAGCACTTCATGAATTTTACAACTCAAGTAAGAACAGTAACAGCAAACATTGACAGCCTAAGTGAGAGAAGGGAGAAAGGGAAGAACAGCTTGTTTGATGTCCCACCTACTCCACAGAATTCACTCCAGAGTATCTCTGTTCATCAAACCTCAGGTTTAACAAGAAAAGCAATAATTTGGGTGAAAAGTGGCACTTACTCGGACTCAAGAGCTTTCTTGCATAGCCTCACACGAGATAGGAGCAAGTCAGGAAAAAAGGAAATAAAAAAATAAAAAGCACTCCACAAAGTCTTGCTCCTTTATCCCACTGAGCAAAGCACAGGAAAAGCTGGTATGGTGCTGACATGGTTCATTTTCAGGATAAATTAAAAAGGCAATAACAAGCCAATGCATGAAGGTAAGACATGCAGGATCACATCCTGCCAGTCTTAAAAGACTTTTATCTCAGTGTCTCTAGGCTATGTCATGCCACATGACATAAAAATCCATGAAAAATACCAATTTGGATGTTTTCTGCACAACTCTCTCTCCCCTAGTAATAACAAATAATAAAAAAAATGTGTCAAGTGTTGCAGTTTCTTCTGAACATCTTTTACTTCTTCAATTATCTGCAGTTAATTTTCCCCTCAGGATCACTAAAGGGACTTTTGTACAGGGTGAGGAATAAAGGGGTTGAATGTAAAACTGCTACTGGAATTAGACGCTGTGGGAAAGGATGAATATTTGCTCCCTGAGTGTGTCCCATCATGTTAACTCTTCACAGGAGATCTTAATCCCTCACAGACACAGCTCCAGGAGACTGGCACCTGCACAGGGGGTACAGGAATCCAAGCTGGCATCAATGAGGGTGAGCAACTGCAGAGCACACCAATGTCAGCACCACCCCATGTTCCTGTGCCACACGTGATGTGTGTGCACACAGAACAGCCCAGGGTATTGCTGGCTCAGGTTTGAGCATCAGCTCGTGGGTATCACCCTCCTGCACCCAAAATTTAGCTGCTGAATTGATGAACCCCTCACTGATCTTCAATATACACCTACCAGGGGCTCAGATGGACAGGTAAGAGTGGCACCACCCTGCAGTGCTGCCTGCACTGTGTCTGAGAAGGAACCATCTCCACTGAAAGGTGTAGAAGCCTGCAGAAAGGTGAACCTATTGCTTAGCAGCCACCAGCTTTGAGAGACAACATTTATCTACATTACATTTGTATACAGTATTTATCTACAACCTTGGCTTCAAGGTTTGAAGACAGAGATAAACTGATGGATTACCTGGTAATTATTTTGGTTTTGTGACAGCCTCAGTTGACTTGAAGATGTAAAATGAGGAGAAAAGGTACTCCTGGATGCATTAGCACCGCTGTACATTGTGCTGGCTGTGCTGTGCAGTGAGGTCCGTGCAGGGAGGTGGTAATCTCTGCTGTGGTAGAGAACACTGTCAGGCAGGTCCCTGGCACTGGCCCCCTGTGCCCCACAGCCCCCGCTGCGGCCCGGCCCCGACACGGCTGCGCTTTGGTTCTCCACTCGAGCAGAGCTGCTGCTCTCACAGTATCTGGAGTAGCTCTGGATTTGTGCTCCCATGGATGCCAGCTCCTCCTCCCTGGCATACTCGTCCTCCACGTCCCCCGTCTCCATGGCGATGGACAGGCAGCTGCCCTCCAGAGAGGAATGTTTCTGCGTTGTGCTTCCCGCCACCATCCTCTGGGGCTGGTCCGTCACCGCCAGGGAGAACACCTCGCGGATCTCCAGGTTCTGGGTGCTACAGGCAGGGTCCCTGGGGTGAGCCCTCTGCCCGTGGGGCACGTGCGATGCCAGAGCCACATGCTCTGGTTTATGTGACCTGTGACAGCCCACGGGCTCGGCCTTGCAGGGCCTGTGGCATATCATGGGTTTCTGAGGTAACACCAGCTCCGCCGTCTGCACCGAGGAGCCGCCGTAGCTTTTCTTCGTGTGGCTGTAAATGGAGTTTGCAGAATTGAGCACGCTCGTCTGCCTGGATAAAATAATGGTCTTTTCCCCTACTAATAGGGAAGCATTTTTACAGTGTGGGACTTGTCGTCCTAGAGGGATGTGCTGCTGCTGGAACTCCGCGTTGCCTTTCCCCGGGAGCCTCGGGATGGAGGTTTTGTGCATCTCTGCCATGGAAGCGTTGGTGTGTTTGGTGGATCCCTGCCTGCCCGAGGAGGTGGCAGGGCTGTAAATCCCAGTCACTATCACATCATTATTGGAAGAGGTCCAGGAGGATTGCTGGCTGTGGGATCGGGCAATATTGACCACGTTCCGAACTTCTGGGGGCACTGAGGGAGTGGCAGGGGCTGTCCCTGGGGGGGTCCCTCCGGATTCCACCGCGCTCTTGCTGCTCATCTTCCTCCTTTTATTGCCAACCCACGTCTGCAAACGACAACAGCAAACACGAAACAAGGCATTAAAGACTCACAAAAATCAGGCAATTCCGTTTTGAAGCAGGTCTGGTGAAATGTTAAGTGTTCAAGTTGGGACCTAAGTTGACAAATATGTAAATCATCGACTGATTATGCAGAGTCTGAACAATACAGGGTGGAAATCCGGGCCTGAACAACACAGAGTGGAAACCCAGGCCCCTCCTGCTTGGGATCCACACACTAATACACAGGAGAAGCCCAGTCTCAATTCCAAAGCCCCAGTTTCTCAAAAATCCTGATACTGTATCATGCCTTCTCTCCCAAAATTACCGTCAAGATGTGTTTCATTGTCACCACTGTGACTAATCCCCCCAAATTTAAGTTTTTAATGTTCAGCACCTTAGATTGCAGAGCCATCACTCTGGTATGGAGCTAAACTTTTGTAACCCAATAACTGAGAGATACGACCTTCAAATCTGCCTCAAACAGAAGCTGCCAATTCTGGAATTCGGAGGGGAGGAAAAATAAGAAGAAAACAATTTTGTGAAGTACTCAGACCTATGGGCTAATTCCTCCTCTGCCAGCCACAAAAATCAAGATCTGATGTCAAAACCTGCTTTTGAAAGACACTGATAGACAAGATCAGGACTACAGGGATTAGATTCCAACTCAAATTTGCCATTATGGACATTCCTGACAGTAATAATGACAGTATATGGTTTTGTGTAATAGATAGTAGAGGAAAAAATATTTGAGAAATGCAGGTACTGTGGCAGTTGTGCACAGGTTGAAACGTGCTGTGGTTTGAAGCAGATGGGAAAGCGAGTCAAATTTTGCAAAATATCTAATTTAAAGCACAATTTGTTACATGCAGTAAAATCTGAGCTACTAGTGATGACATTTTTCTCCTTAAAAACCAATTTAAAAACAGAATTTATAGCCACAGACCTCAAGTTATTTTCCTTTACTGTACAAAACAGATTTAGAAGATTAAATTTTCCTTTTTTTTTTAAATTTCTGTTCTATCAGTAAACTTTCAAGAGAGAAATTACAGCTGAATAGAGACACTGTAAATTTTGGACCAGGAAAAGAGATTTCATCCCTAACTTTTCCAACTGTATAGAACTAAAATATGAAGGTTTTCCTTACAGTTTTCCTGAAAATAAATAATTTCTAAGAAATGCAAATACCTTAATAGCACTAATAATAAAATACAGTTTCATGAGACAGCACAAGTCAGATTTGACTCTGCTGAGAGTCTTCCTGACTGTGTTCCCAGTTCTTACTCCCACCATTTATCCAAAACACCCACCTGAGCTCCTCCAAAAGGCTTAAAACTGAATTGGCAAAACAAAAAGAAAAAGAACAAAGGCTTAGGTAAGGTTAGCAAAATTACCTGGGTTACACTGAAACTTAACAAAGCCAGAGATGATGAACACAAGAAGGAAGAGAGGAGACAAAGTATTTGCCATCTTGGAGACTGGAAAGATTACAAATACTCTTCAGATTTCCTAATTTTGCAAGGGAGAATAGATTTTATGTATTGCAGTAATAAGATCTGTAGAGGTTTACACCAAATCATAAATGGGAAAATAGGACTTTTCTTTCCAACCCAGCTCAAGACTGGAAAGACTGGATGCAGTTCAACGGGATGAGATGGCAGAAATCCTGATTCTGGGAAAGAATGCATTCGTGCAGTTATGATATTTGAAGTATAAGTTGCATCTAAGGAATTCATGTTCCTATTACAATCATATCTGTAAGTGCCAGCTGGAACCCAAGTATCATTTTGCTGGACGTTGTAAAAAGGAGAACTAGTCACTGACCAAGAGTTTTGTAGGAAAAAAAAAAAAGGAAAAATGGGGGAATTAAGAGAGGAAGGAAGGAGGGGTGTAAAGAAGAGAAAGGTAAAATCGTGCAAAAATATGATAAATGCAGGACAAACACTGGGTCTGTTTCGACTGCACTTTACAAGTGGCAAAAAAACCCTTCACAAGTTCTAAGGGTTGCAAATCAGGGCTCAGTAAGGGAATAAAATTGAAGGAAAAAGGCCCTGATACTTTACTGCAGGAAGGGAAACTGAGAGGGAAAGGAAATCTGGAGAGTGAAGGAGGACTGCCCAGAGAGGAGAGACTGGCTGCCTCCTCCAGGACATTCAATCAGCATAAAAATAGCAGAGCAGGCCCTGAGTGCCCCATCAGCATCCAGATTCCTGTTACAACTGTCTGCCTGTTCCAGGAGCCTCAATCCCTGGCTGACTTTCACAGCTTCCCACTACCAAGAGCTCAGAAGGACAGTTTTAATGTTTCCAGACTGTTGTGAGGGAGGGGAATCCAGGTACTAATCAGGGAGCAGGAAGGGTTGTTGTTGTTGATATATCACTGGTAAACCAATTACAAAAACAACCCAGACTGGTCTCACTTCTTCCTCCTCAGTGTCCAGTGTTGCAGCAGCTCCTGGGAGCTGCACTGCCCTTGTTATTTTTTCAGCTAATGCTTCATGATTTCTATTTCTGCTCTCGGCCAAGAGCCATTTTGTGTCTAGTGTTTCACAAAGGGATTATTATTTCCCTTCCTGTGGAATTCATAGACTTTGGAAGAGCTCCTGTTAGCCCTGGTGACATTCTTGTTTTATAAGAAAAGAATGTCCTCACTGTAAACAGCCATGAGGGACCACAATATTTATGATTGTGATGTTGAATACAAGTGTGACAGAGAAAGAAATAGTTCCACAATTATTCCCCCAAATACATCATGTTATAGAAACTTCTTTAGCTTAAGAACAGTTTCTTAATAACATGACCTTGCTTCTTGCTTTCATACGATACATTGCACAAAGTTTGTACAGGGCAAACTAATTTGTAATTTATTAAAGACTAATTTAAAAAATCCCAGCAAAAGACAAACAAAAATTACTCCTTGTGCAACCCAGGCCCCTGCTAAATACAACAACCATGTGAAGACATTCCAGTGAAAACAAACTATAAAAATGAACGTCACATACACACACTGAAGCCTGATTTAAGACAATGATGGAGTTAAGAGACTCCACATCTCTAAATATTTTATGTAAAGCAAGTTTAACAAACAAATTTGGAAGGCCTCAGTACTCACCCTGACCACACTGAAGTCCAGTTTTGTTTCTTGTGCACACTGTAATATGAGCTGAAAGCAATTTTTACTTTGATTTGTCATTCCATTTTCATAATAACGCTGCAATATCCTTTGTTGTTCTACAGTAAATACAGAACGTAGATTCATCTGGAAATAAAAGAAGATACTCTGAAAGTTGGAATAAAAACTGTAAGACTTGCAGAATACACAGGCTCTCATTTATACCTGTGATAACACTAAGGGTTGACATGTTTTCTCTACAGAATCTTTTACCAATGCTTTTACTTACTTTCTAAAAAAAAACCCTGTTACAGTCAGCATTAGTGATTCCTTTGTGACAGACTCAAGCTGAGCAGGTGAATTATAAGTCTGCAACAACACTGACAGCTTTTCATAAATAAATAAATATTACATTGTGTTGTTAAGTCCATGAGGCTCTAGTTTCAAAGAAGAAGTTTCTCCCTTAAAAAAAATAAAATAAAATAAAGGCATTAGGCAAAACAGAGTAACATCAGCAGATCCAATATCAGCAGGTTTCTCCTCACCTACCAAAAAAAGAGACAAAATCTGAGATAAAATAAAGGTGACTGTTTGACACGAGTGAAGTTTCCATGGTCTCCAACTTCATCAAATCCTACACTCTGTGATGCTTGGTCCTTCTGCTGTGTCAGCACCAGCACCTCCAGCTGCAAAGTCACAAAAATCAAGAACTGGAGACCAACCTGGGGCAAAAAAAACCCAGGAAGGGCTTTAGGCAGCTCTGGAGCCACCCAATGCAAATACTGCAGAAGAAGAGAGGAGGGACTGCCCGTGTCACAGCCTGGGCTGGGAAAGGTCCAGCTCCTGTGGAACTGCACCCTGAGGCTGGAAATCAGGATTTTTAAGAACATGTAAGGGTTGTTTTCCAGGGGTATGAGCCAATGCTGACTGCAGGATGTCAGGATGTGTTCCTGCTCCTTGGTTTGTCCACAGTGGTGCTGAGGAACTCAACCACGATCAGCCCCAGGCTCCTCCAGGGCCAGCAGCAACTCCTCAGTCCTGTTCCCAGCACTGGGTCCCTCCAAGAATCTCGCTGTTCCTGGGGACAGGAGGTGGCCCAGGACAGGGCAGCAGTTTGATGGACACATTAAACCACACATGAGTTTGTTACACGTGACAACTCACACCCTGGCTTGGTAAAGCACACAGCTGAATATGACCAAGTGCAGAACAGACTCCTGAGGGCAAACTGGAGCTTTCTGTTCTTGGTACAAGCAAAAAATATAATCCTGTGGTTAGAGATCAGAAAGAAGATCCCAATCATCACCAACTTCCAGAACAGGGCCTTTATTTGTCCCAAACAAAACGCAGCAAGTGCTGGCCAGGAACAACCTGCATCCAACTTTGTGCCTTGGGAAGCAAAATTGTCACTTTAATACAGTACATGTATCATAATAATGCAGAACAAACTAAAGAATAAGAAACCTCACCATCATCCTGTAGGGAGATAAAGGGGATGAGGGAACCCTTTGCAGCCACTAAGCTTTTTTTGAAAACACCCAGTGGAAAGAAGTGTGGTGATAGACCTAATCTTTGCACAAGAACTGCTTTCTGATATAGAGCAAATAAAATTATTAAAGGCTCAAAAGCTTGGACAGACACCCAACTGCTTTCATATTATTCTCCAAGATGATTACACTATGTAATGGTAATGGATGTTAGGTTCAACAGGCCTGTATAAAGAAAAAAGATTAATATCTAGAATTTGGAGTAAAATGCTTGTAGGCCAGAGCTGTGACTTCAGAGTTTACTTTCCTCTCTATGCCAACAGACAATAGAAAAATCAATTTGTAAAAATTACCGTTTCTTTGAAATAATAGTTAAAACAGAAGATGATTTTTCAATCATCTCTTTTACCTCTGTTCCCAACTCCTGTTCACCCTCTCAATGCAGTGCATTATTAAATGCAGCACCACCAGCTACATGACAAATCAGGCTTTGCCTGTGTTCTGCCTCCCCCAGAACAGGTATTCAGTCACAGCCAGAGCTGGGCAAAGGAAACTCTGGCTCTGAATAATCTACTGTTTAAAGAAATTTATAGCAAGTAACAGAGAAGACAATTATTAGTCCATTAACAAATCAATAAAGTTCATAATAATCTACTCTATAATGTTGGGAACTGCCTTCAGATGTCCCACGTGGATACACTCAGTGACGTGGCCACTGACTGATTTATGTCCCTTCTAAAGGACACACAAGAGGCAGTTTTGTGGTTCTTGCACAATTAGCAGGGCCCAGCTTCCACTTTTGTCTACTCCTCTTTCAGTACCAGAGGCCCTGTTCTATTTAGAGGAGCTCAGTTCCCACAAACGACCTCATCAGAAATAGTTATGAACCTTCCATGTTTCCAGATCCAGCTGTGTCAGCCCAAAGCTCAGCACTTCCATCCACAGGCTCATCACATCATGCTCTCCAAACAGTTCATCTACTCCAATGAAGACTCTTCCCATTGCAAGATAAATTTTTAGAGTCAGACCTGATGACCTGGGAGGGAAGACGTGTGACAGGCCCTTGACACGTTTTTAATTATGGGGATTTCTGTATCCAAGGTCACTTCTGGGTTAAAACACTTTCATTGTTGCATTTGACATTTGTAATTTAGATAAAGACAGGGTGGAGCATTTTCATTAAATCACTTGAACTTCAGATAAACTGTCTGACAGGCTTGGCCCAGCTAAGCTCCAGAGAGGGCATGGTCTGGTTTAATAACTCATTTTTGCAGTGTATTTTAATCACTTGTGAGCTACACCTGCCAACTGGGAAGATTTCTGAGTACCCTCTATCTTGAACCCAGCTGAGTCCAGCTCAGGGCATCTGTGAGAGGCCATCAGAAAGTGATTTAAATAACTAAATTACAGGATCCTACAGACACAGAGTTATGGCAGCTGAGTCATAACTTGAGTTCACATTCCAACTTCTAAACCTTCAATTAAGCAGGTGAGAATTTATCAAAGCATTTTGTGTCTTAGATATACTGAATCCTAAATCAATAGACAGTTCTGGACCATTTCCCACTAATTTCACACCAGTGTGTAGGATGTTTGGCAACACTCCGTCTCTGGCAGGCGCAAAGTTCACTGATATTACGTCACCTTTAAAGTCCAGCTGGAAATCAATTTGCTATCAGCAATTCTTCAGTGCTTATTTTGAATATCTAAACCAGTACCCTGCGTTGAATAAACCAATTCCTGGATGTTTGGAAGCTCCATTAGAACACCATGAAGTCCAGAGCTAATCAATGAAGAGCTGCCTCTGCGTGTCCCATCTTCACAGGCAACAAGTTCTGCTCACACCTGGGAACTGACCCACATTGAGCACTCAAACATCTGTGAGAACATAATGTTACTGTCTCTGAGACAAATTAACACAGGGTACATTCATCAAAGGATTACACTGGTTATTTTTTTTGGAAGTATTACCTATTTAGCATCAGATTTCGTAGTTAGAACAAGACATTAAGTCTTACATTTTCTCCAACACGGAAAATCACTTAAAAACTGCTAAAATTACTGAACACAAAGGCAGTCACATCAGTACCAAGGGAATCAGCAGGTCACACTCCTTCATCACAGACATTATTCAAAACAACCTCAGTAGCTTCTAAGGAAACAAACTCCTTTTCCCAGTTTGTGCACCTAGGGAGCACTCCAGCCTCAGGATTTCTCACCTTTGTCTTGAACCTCAGACTCCAAGTTAGAAATCCACATGGATTTTTATCATAATTTCATTTTGATCTTGACTTGCCAAGCTTAGCAAACATGCATGTGAGCTTTTGGGAAGCCGGGTGTCCAGCTGGTTGGCAACACATTGGCACTGAAAAGAGAGTTTGTTACAGAAAAGAACTCTGTGAAATTTAATAAAAATCAGGCAAAGCATTATGCAAACAAATTCCATGACTGTAAGCTGCCTTTTCACTTCAATAAAAGACAGAGGTGGCAAAGCAGTACTCAAGGATTCAACATCTGCCTGTTCTAGCACAATAAAGCAGCCTTGGCCAAGTGTTTTGCAGCCTTGACAGTGCAAATGTAACAAATGAAAAAGCACCTTCACCCCTGGGATGTGTCCTAGGCCAACTAACATCATGTAACTCTTCACTTTGGGGGTCTCCCACTCCTCAACCTACAGTGAACCCGACAGAATGAAGATGTTCTTCATTCCCTTTCTAAACTGAATACTAATTAAAAAAACTTAGCATGGTAAGATCCCTCTGATATGTGTGGTGGTTTAGGAGATGTAAATGTAGCCCAAGTGTTAAGCAGGGACTGTGACATGTGGGAGATCCCAGAGTGATTAGTGACAAGGTCAGAGATGGGAACTCCCTGCCCTTCAGTTTGTCCCAAGGACAATTCCACAGACACCCTGGGACTGTCACAGTGGCTCCTTGTCAGGTGACATTAAGGGTGTTCTTACAGCTCAACTTTTTCAGGCTTCTTAGGCTGTTTAAGCAACTTTTTCACAGTATCCCCCTTCCTTCCCTTCTGTGGGAAGAGCGAACAGGAGTGGAAAGAGAACACGGAGACCTAAAGCAGAGTTTGCTCCTGAACATTTCCTTCCCAGAACAGGCACTCAGGGTATTGTCCCACAGGGTTTGCTGCAAATGCCCAGTCCTTCCACCCCAGTTACTTTATTCAACAGCCAGAAATTAGGAATCTCTCCAGGGAGATCTGGTGAAGGCAGGTCATACATTTTTAGCAACTAATGGAAACAACTTGATGTCAAGGAGTAAGACAAAAGAAAGAACAACTGAAAGAAAATGGGAATAATCATGTAATCAAATAATTCAAGAGTTACTTAACTGTTCTGGAATGACTTGAAAAATCTGGGGGCAAAAAAAGGGACAAAAATAAAGAAGTAGCATAAGAAGGAAAAAAAGTCTGTCTACAAGTACAGCAGTATAATCAGTGTCCAAAAGTATCTAAATATTAAGATTGCTGAACCAAGTAAACATTAACAAAGTAAATCTCTACAGAACACTACATTAATAGTATTTAATTTGAAAATAGGAAATAAAATCTCGAACTACGGTCATTTTAAACAGCAACAAAAAATAGTCTTGGATGTGATAAATAATAAATAATTCACTCAGAGCACAAGCCACCACAAAGTAACTAAGTATAAAAATCTTCATGGTATAAAACATAATAAAACTGTCAGGGATTAACACAGAGTGATAAAAGGGAACAAGCAGTTTTTGAGAGTTTTCTTTTTTAACTTCAGCACCAAACAAGTATTTATTTATAAAAAAGTCATCTTGCAAAGCCTATTTCTGTTTTAGTCTGTCCATCCATAACAGGTACAACAAGAAAATCAGCACACTCCTCTATTTATCTTTTTTTCTGTTCCCTCCATAATCTCTTGTGGTAAAAACCAACAGGTCTCAGTGCCAATATAAATCTGAGACAAAACTGGAACTATGATAAGAAATGTACTCCAGACATAAATTAAACAAGACTGCAGTAGTGACACTATTCCTCCAGCTTTAGGAACCTCATTCACTTTCCACAGCTGCCAAAACCTCACCATTTCTTGTACATCCCCAGTGGAAAGAAAACAACCAACCAACCAACATTGTAATGTGTGGGGATACTGGATACACATCAAGCAACAATGTTTAATAATCTGAATTGGCAGGTTGGTGCCTCTTTCCTACACAGGCCAAACCAGTTAGAGCCACACGCTCCCAGTGCAGTGGGTGAGGCTGATGGTTGGGTACATGTAATGTACAGCCCAGCTTGTAAAACTACTTCTAAATATCCGTGACTCGCAGCATAATTGCTTCCCTCTCCACTAAGTACAGCATTTGTAGGATTGTATTACAGTCCTACCTATAAAATGCAGCCCTTTATTAGGGACAAATTAGACAGCCCTCAGTAACTTAATAACCTAATAACCCATGACCACAACTCCACAGGTTTACGCATCCCCATCCCACTTTACTGATGC